GTTGTAGGTTAAAAGAAAAAGATGCCAACTGGAATTCTACTAAATGTACTTATTTCAATGTTCAACAACAGTTCCTTAAACCATGTAAATTCTTGAAAAATTCCATAGTCGACCACATTCCTGAGTTTAGAGTTTTAAAATACAATAAAATAATGTTTATCCTATCAGCTGTGATAACTTCATGCAAAGCCCCATTTGACAGGGACGAGCAGCGACTCTAAGAGAAGGTCCTTACGTAATCTGGGCGACCGCTATTACCGATTTTGCAATACGGAAGGACTTTCATCTTTCAAATTTTGACTGTTTGAGGCTAATTTAAAAGACTGATCCTTAAATTTCAAATTTTCGCAAGCCGCAGCGTTTGTGACGTGTAGGTATTTGGTAGGATTCTCGTTTAACACGTTTTCGCCATTGTATCCGTAAACTTTCATTTGCCGCCTCTTTCATAAACTTAAAAAGGCGTGGACGATAGAAATGCAAACACAATTGTACGTGGTATATCCCTTGGGAGAAGTTACACCCTTATGATCCGCCATAGTTCTGCACAAAAATCCGCCGTAACTTCCAGAATGTTCGATAAGCTACGTTAAGCATTCAGAAAACATGTCGAGTTGACGTTGAAATGGAAAGATTTCCCTATAACTCCACACAATTCTAAAACAAAGGCCTTTTTTCCAAGCTAAAGTCTGGTTCCCCCATTGTTTTCGTTTGTTTTTAATTAAAATCGCATATATAATGAATTTACGTGGTTATTTTGACTCTTACAATGGATGATGACAATGTAAAGAAATTAGTTAAGCTTCAAACTAACAATAAAAGTACTCTTTCAAAGCACATCCCATGGGAAGGGCTACGCCACACGTATTACATATATTGTGGTTCTGCTTGCAAACTTTATTACTGCCAAGTAATTTGTAGAACCTCGTTTGGCATTGAAGGAACTCGGTAAGTTGACCATTTATTTCCCATTTTAGCGTTTTACTCAACAATCTGCATAGTTTAGGATAACTGTAAACAAGTTTAGAGTAAGCCAAACGAAGAACGAAGATCAATGAGGGCAATGCACGTTTGAATGGTCTAGTTTGCTCATGGTATATCATCAAACTTTTAATAGAAATTGATGACCTTGATCTCTGCTATCCCAGTAGAATGTGGACATTACAACCTTTTTGTTGGCAGTTCTCTTAATTCTAATAAATGTCATTTTCATGTAACATTTTTTCGAAGAAGAAGTTTTCATTTATTTTTTTATCCAAGCAGTGTTACATATTTATTTTGTATTTTCACAGTCGAGATACTTGCAAAGTCAGGTTGGAATCCACCACATAACAAAAGCTTTGCAGACTTTTTGTTAAATCACGTATTACAGGCGTTTCGTAGCCTCGCACGGCGTAATTTAAGTGCGGTAGATTTCTTACACACACATTTACAAATTTTTGCTTTCGTTATGACCAGTGCTTATTAATGAGGGTAGCCATTGTTTCATTTTCTGAAGAGTTTTTATTCTTTTGATTGAAATAGACAATAAAATATTCTTCGTCAGCACGAAAAGAAATAAATTCTGTTTTCAAATGCAGAAAGCGATGGTTTGAACCGCGAACTTCGCATTAGATTACCAGTAGTCCCTCTTTTTCGGCAAAGTCCGTCGCGCGAATCAAAAATATAAGTGAAAAAAATAATCCATATTAGCTTGCAGGAACGCGTGCACTTGAACCATGAATGTCAAGGGACAGAGTTAAGTCCAATTCTGTCTGTGATATTATGGGTGATCAATCTAATTGTAAATGAATGAGATTATGAATGAATGACATGGCATGATGATTCACGACCAATCAGCATGCGCGCGTTCTTTTGATCACTTGAGCAATTATACAAAAAATTGAGGTTATAATCTTTTGTGCACATGCCTGCAGTGTAGTTTGGCTGTTTTAACCAAAGAGATGGAAGAGATCATCCAGAAAGTCAGAGATGCTTGCGCAAAAAGGGGAATCACTGGATTGTCCAAACTGGGCAAGTAAGTTAAAGGTTGCAGGTTGCCAATACAAAGGGTTTGATTTACTCTTTAACAATAAAAAAAAATATTGAAGACCGGTCACTATTTTTTCAGGGGAGGGGGGTGAGGAGTTTTGGTTGTTTCACCATGAAATTTCCCTGATCCCCCCATGAGGCTCTGTAATATTCCTGGCCCTGGCCCCCTTTCCCATTGGTAGTTAATTGGCAGTCAATTAAAAAAGATATTACAACTTTATATTCTCTTGATGAATGTCGAGTCCTTTTTTTGAAGGGATGTTATCATCAGACGACCCTGTAAAGTCAAAATAGACCAATGAAACTTTAAGACTTACACCTCCTGATGCATACTCTGTTTATTTTTTTTTATCTCAAGGGAAGGGCGCTTATTCGAAACAGGGCGCCAAGCAATCGTCGCAAAATTTTAGAACGAAATCTTTCGTTTGAAGGAACTGCGCACTCACAGCGACTTAAAAGTTAAGAGACCGAGACGCAAACCACTTTTTTGTCGTGAGGCTTTAAGTGACCAATTAAAGGAAGATGGACCATGATTGATCTC